TGATAAATTTCACGATAATTATTATATACGCGCATGCTTCATCTTGCCATTTCGAAATTTTCCAACATTCACGGTTTCTAAAGAAATTTCCACGGACGATTTTCAGCTTGCAATTTGAATCTGTTCGAATTGCAAAATTTTCAAATATTCACCGACTGTAGGATCGAACGTTAGAGAGATTCCCACAGTATTCCGGCTGCTGTTCGGCGTGAAACTGAGACACGTATTTCGCAAAACTTATCGAACCCGACAGAATGTGAGCGGTATTCTATCGGAAGATACTCTGACAAATATTTCATAATCGAACGTATGTACGTGACTAAATTCTAGGTTCCCTCTTAAAACTCGAGTATTCAAGGTTGCGACATATACGATCAAACACGTTCCTACTGTTTGGTAATATCGGTTAGATCCAACCGGTAGGGTTTTATCAAACGATACTTAATAAACGCGTCGTGCTTTCTTCTTATTCTTCTCCTACCGGAGAAGATCGAACAACCGTGTTTCACGTAATCGACAGAAATTTCACCGAGCAGTGTGTAACCGTATCTGCCAATTCGGCGAGGCACACGGCTCGAGTGAAAGTGTACTCCAGCTAGTAGCGATGGGATGGAGTACCTCGCAAGTACATTCGGATGCTTTTGAAATATTTCTGAAAATCAAAATATCAATTTCGTGAGTGCTTCAGAAAACGAAGGCAATATTTCTGAGTGTACACAAATATTTATAAAATATTTATAATACTAAATAGATGATAAAGGCAAAAGGAAAACTTGCAAGAATAATAAATTCTTATTACACCCTCCACGATACTCCAGTTTTCAATAAATATATAAATTGACGAATTTCCATACTGGTTAGTCAGTTGGGGCTCTCGTTGTTGGTACCCAGTGATCGTTTAGCGAGGAAGGGGGTTAAAAAGCGGGTCCGGTCGACTAGTAAGCCAGTAAAACCGCACCGAGGGCCGATTATCAAGATGCAAACGCAGAAAAGACGGTGGCTGAAGGAACAAGACCAAGAACTTCTTCATCTTCTTCTTCGTCTCTCTCGCGTCGCGAATCGCACGCGCGGATTCCCACGGTGCGAGATAACGCCGGCATAGATAAAGAGAAACACCAGAGGGCAGGGAGAGGCGCGAAGAGGAAACGAAGTAAACAGACGAGGAATAAAAAGAAATAAAAAAGTGAAAAAGAAGGGAGAAAGAATACACGGTGAGAGAACGTGGACAGGGGGTGGGAAGGTAGAAAGAGAGGGGGGGAGAGAGAGGGAGAAAAACGACGAGGACGATGTGGGAAAAGAGGAAGCTAATCAAAAACGGAAGTACGCTCTAGCGAGGCCCGAGGCCTTGAGAAGCATAGTCAGCCGCGTAGCTTTTAGCTCTCTTAATTGCAACTTCATTTAACGTGCCCTAACACATCGAAACGTTCGGCCAATCCGAGGCCTCTACGCCACGAGATGGCTTCTTAATAACCGTCTTATCGTTAACGAAGAAACGTACAGGGAAGGGAGAAAATGCACACGTACACCTTTGGTAGGTGAAAATATTGGAGACATGGAAATTCGTAGAAAACGAACAATTTCCTTTAACCCTGCTGTTCTTCTCCCTTACGCTTTCACTTCATGCCGCTTGAAACATATTACATATCTTCGAATTTTCGAGTGATTTATTTCTAAGAAAATCATTTTGTAACATTATGTAAAGATATGATTTATTGGCGCTTATAGGCCAGTAGGCCAAATATCAAATATTAAATACCAATAACTTATGGCGTCATGAAAAAACTCGAAATTGTATAACGAGGTTATTTTCTCTTCGAGCCATTCGCAATTATAATGAATGCATTGCAAAAAAAAAGTGAATTATACAATTGCTTTTTTAGATGGATAGTACTCTTGTTGGATCGCGAAACCGTACGAAGGTAATATGTTTATGCGTCGGTGTTTTGCCGGATGTTGTTATTGCTGTAACGTTGGCAAAAAAAAAAAAAAAAGTAGAGAAAAAAAGTGCAATCGAGTTAAACATACACTTGGTATAGTGTTTATAATTATAGTTATCTCGTGGCGACTATATTAGTCACAATTGGTTCGCGATAATCGAATTCCTCCTATCAGCTGCGAACATTTCTATTTGAAAGATACGTGCTGGTAATTATGAAAGTAGTCTGAGTGAAAATTCTATAAATAGCTCAACTTATTTTCTTTTACATCGACTTACAATAAGAATGAATATAATGAAACAAGTGAGATGGCTTCTTTAATCGTTAAAGATAAGAATAAAACAAATTTTTGCACGCTATACATAATTCTAAACTATTGAAGATAATTAAGAGTTAAATTTCATTTCTTTTGCTTTTCTTATGAGTAAATTAATTATTTCAAAATATTTGATTATTTTGACAGAAATGTCACGCCTTTAAAGGGGTTGAATAAGCGAAGGATTGGAAAGAATTTCTAAAATCTGTTCGATGAACAGGGTAGCAGGAAGTGCACGATCTACCTGTTGGTCGCGATTACGAGAAGAAACGCAAACCGTGCTTACGTAAGATCAATTGGACATGATTCACGATCGATTTAGCCGGCTGTGTATCGATCATCGCGAATTGATAGGCACCGGTAGACTATTTTCAAACAGATATCGCAACCTATCAAACGTGTACGCCACTCATTACCAGCTTCTCGTTAACTAATCGTAACACGCGAGCCATGATTGCCTTTTATAATGAATCAATGATCCGTTTAATCAATGGCCGCGTAACGTATGTATAGATAAAAAATAATCGAAATTCGTACATCAACGTGGATTATATTTACGCTTACTCAACGTTGCAAAACAAACGTACGAACCACGTGTACGACAGATATATTTACGTTAAGGCTTCCCTAAACATGAATATTAACTACGATAAAACGTTCGTTTACCTGTTTGTTTCGATAATTTATTTGCAAATATACCTGTTACATGCTCGAACGGTTATCTCGACACCAATGAAAACATTATCCTTTCAAAGTGTGGTGATCAAATTATCTTAACGAAACTAAACTTGTGCTCGATTATGTTACTGCTAATCTAACGCGTTATCATATACTGCATCGTGCAACGTTTACTTTTATTACTTTACAAACAGTAACATATTTGTTTGCAGGTAATGACACCGATTGTCTACGTTCCTTTTTTGCTACTAGGTAGAAAAGATTGAAATAAATTTTTTAACCGATGATTGTTTAAGAGATCCGTAGATTGTTATCCTACCGTAGCGACTATGAAAAGTAATGTTTTTTGGATTTAAAATGCAGAGAAAGTAGAAGTCCGATTCTTTCAGTATTTGGTAGTTTATCGGGAGGTGTTTTTTTCAATTTTGAACGCAATCAACGAATTGTAGCTTTAGAAAATATAGTGCGAAAATCTTTTCCTCGTTGGCTTTCGACTTCGTCAAAACTCATTTTTCATTGTTTTCCTTCGGATTGCCAGAAACGAATTCTATCAACGACCGGTTTTTTCTTATGGCGCCATGTTTTTTCTCTTTTATTATAAATCGGAGGAAAGAATGCTCGCACGACTTGCCGATTAAAAAAAGTAAAGTTAACCAGAAATTTCAACTGGTTCACCTTAAAAACCTGATCACAATTTCCGTTTATATCATACTATTTACGCATTGCGACTTTGAGAGAGAGTAGCATAAATGTACAGGGTGTTAAAAAAACAACGGATCCAGTGATCATCCTCATAAACATAAGTCAAAAAATGACTATCTTCTGTTGAAAATTAAAGAACGAAAAAATTAACAATTGCAAACACATCTTTTGCATGAAATTCTTTTCAAAGAGAAGATTTATTAAAACCAGATTAATTTTTCCACCTCTTTTAATTAAGAACACTTTGCTCCATTTTGTCCTTAAAGTCCTGAACTATATTCTTTTTTTAAACATCCTGTGTATCTAGCAGATAATGGCCATATGAGAACAAAATGGCGACCGTCGAAAGACGGCTTTTGACGATCCCGACCTTGACTCAAGATCGCTTTTTCTTTGCTATCCGTCATCGCTAGTCATTGATGACCACATAGGACTCGCGACCGCCTCCTCCTTTTTTCTGAAAAACAGTTGCGCAACCAATGTTCGTGCGACCATGGAACACCTGAACTTGAATTATACCTACATACGTACGGAAAAAGCTTTTGCATCGTTACGTGATACTCTAGTCGAACATTTTCTAAACATCGCGAACGAGTCTTTTTAAAAAATCAAAAGCAAAATACTCTTCGATAACGATTAGAGTTTAAAATTGCAAACTTTGGAATGAAAGTAACAATTTCACTGTCTGACTACGCCCGCCCATTTTCACTGCGCCGCTCAACGTGTTAATTAGCTGCCGCAAACTTTATCGCTGACTGCGAGCAAGGCAAATTTCATTTAGAAGGTTTAAATTGTATTTCATTCTACAAGACGTTATTCGTAGATCTATCTTCGTCTTGGTAGCCATCATCAAATACTTTTAAGTCCCATTGATCATCTAACTGAGCCACACGATATTTTCTGGCGAAAGAGCATTTAAATTTAATTAATTTTTCGTCGAAATCTAATTGTCTTTAGGTGCGTTAGACACGGTGGTCCTCTTTGCTTCCAATTAGGTTGCTACTTTAATTTACACACTCTCTTCCGTCCAATCGCACGGAATGTTGGTTCACTGCTCTGGCAATTTCTTCGTTATCGTATATTGAAGCAGCGTCGAGTGATGCGAAGCAGACGAAAAAACTAGCGAAGCTTTTCAAGCTTATCGAACCTCGTATCCAACGTACTCTTTGCCTCTCCTATTCTGGATTCTACTTGAATTCCTTAAATATCATCCACTATACAGGATGTTACAAGTGTTGATGAAACATCTTTCTCGCTATTTTTGACGGGTGATTTTGAATGAAAAAGGAAACTGCTCTATTAGCATGATTAAAGTCGACGATCGCGGGGTAGGGTTAAGGAGATAGCGAAGAAAGTGTTGTCCTTACCTTGCGATTTTGATCGTCCTAGTTTTATCCAATAATCGACGGTATCCAATAAAGAAACGTAATCGGTGAGGCACGGTGTTTCCCTTAAAACTCTCTCGAAGAGTCACGAAGCATCTCGACGAGCCGACGACCCGAAATCCCGTGATAGCGGCGACGAGTACGACGGTGTAAACACGTGGCATACATTGATATAAGGGGGATGTGATCACCAACGGGACGAGAAATAGATCGTAGCACGTCGTAGAGAAACGGAGACGAAACGGTAGAACATTAACAAAACGGTATAGCTGCCAAAAGAAATCGAGGCAACATCGAAGTTGGCACTGAATTCACCTCACACTGGAGAACCACGTCCACACTAGTCACAATATACCGGTAATGCGATATCCCCTTGTATCTTCGGACGAAGAGAAATTTCAGAAACAAACACCAGACGATAATAGTGTTCGAAATATCGACGTTGGTACACGTGGTACACACGATATATACAACACGTGAATCCCAGGTAAAAAAAAGAAAAAATGGATGTACGTGGTTGAGAGCGGTGACATCCGTTTGATGCGAGGGTTCAAGAGGATCACCACGATGACGAGGAGGATGACAACGATGACGAGGATAACGACGAAAAACGACGTGGAGTACTTTTTTCCAACGGGGTCTGCTCCGTTGGCTGGCCAGGGTCAACCGGCTGGCTCCGAGCGCGGCACTTTTACCCGTTGGGTACTCTCAAGGACTCGGAGGTGGCTCCTATTCCTTTCTCTTATCCTTTCGCGCGCGCGCCTTTTTTATCCCGCTAACCTTTTTAAACGCACTTTTAATTCCGCTCGGCCGCGTGTCTCTCTGCGCCAGGAGTGTTCACCAGCTACCAAGGGGTACGATCCGTACGGGGCGTTTAAGTCAGCCCCGTTTTTCAAGAACCTCTCGGGTTTCCGTGCTTAATGCAGCAGATCGCGGACGGACGTGTCGCGAAAAATCCAATCGCGATGATGGCTGCTCGACGAGATTAGAAAAGTACACGGTGGGTATGAAGTATAAAGGCTGAGAAAGAAAAACAAGTAGGATTTAGCCACATCCGGATCGTCTTTCAAACTTGTCCTCCGCTACTGCTGACTTGTCCTCGACAGCGAACTACTACTCCAGTTCCTCTTTTTTCCTTCTTTTTCTCGGCTCTCGTCACAGACGTTTCCAGCCACAGATCGTCGATTTCGGTGACGTTTCCCGTCTCCTCGTCGTCCACCCTGCGGACGATTCAGAAGTTGTGCTCGTACACCCGTATCTCCGACTGCGTATCGTTACCTTACAATTTCCTGCGGCGGATCACCGCTGTTTCTCTCCTCCTTCCACTTGCTGCTTTGCTTCTCTTCTTCCTCTCTGCCTCTCCCTTTCTCTGTCTCCTTTCTCTTCTGGTTTTGTAATCCGTTTTACGAAACTTCTCCTGTAGAGGCCGAACTGCGGCGTAGCCGAAGCTGAAGCGAGCGGGAGGCGAGGCGAAGGATCGAAGGTACGGGCCGCGGGAGGCTTCGAATTCTGCCACGAAATCCGACTGGAATTCCGCCACCGCGTTGACAGTGGATCCTGACGCGGTGTTTTCTTCGGTTCCGGAAGCGGGTTACCGGTGGGATACGAGGAACGATGACCTTGAACGGTCGCGTTTCGTAGCGCACGACACGAAGCACACGGTAACCAACGTTTCCATCGCTTTTTCTCCTTCGTCTAATCGGTAACGGTCAACACGGCGATCTTTTACGATTGCGATTGTGTTCAGCAACCGTACCGCGAGCTCTTTCACCTGTTCTTCGTCACAAGAGAGTCCCGCAGACCTCGGCGTGCACCGTCGTCCAATCGAAATTAGACACAGATTTCACGAAGCAACGGACTAGAAATGTTGTTACACAATTGAACACTTCTTTTCTCGCGCTCTCTCTCTCTCTCTCTTTAGTTTCCCGTTTCCTTTCCTTTTTCCTTTCCTTTTCTTTAGCTTCGTATCGTGCGTGTTCCACCGTTCCCGACACTTCCCGAACGGCCACCTTCCGTTGCTTCCGTGGTTATTGCTGGTACGCGATTCTCTCGGAAAAAGAAACAGCTCGACGACGGTAGGACCAAATCCGAAAGCTGTCGAGGGAAAGACAGAGAAAGAGAGGGAGAGAGAGGGAGAGACAGAGAGAGAGAGAAACAGAGATATTCGGCTATGCCCAGCCTACGAGACAGGATCGGATTTTAGCGCGCTCCGCACGCGCTCCCGCGAGCACAACTCGCTGGTTTCAACTTTTACTTTCAGCTCTTACACAACGCGCGCGGCTCGCTCTTGCTTCGTACGTAAGTGGTAAACCGAACACAGCCAGTCTTGCTATTTGATTTCAACCTTCCTCTTCTTCTTCACCTTCTTCTTCTTCTTCTTCTTCTTCTTCTTTCTCCACTTCTTTCTCTTCTCTTCTTCGCGTACCTTTCTTTTCCCTTTCTCCTTTCTCTTCCTTACACTCGATCGTTCCTCGAAAGTTATCAATGCGTCTTGTTCGTGCTCCGATACTTTCTATTTTCAAATCGAATCGAACCGATGAAAATCGATCGGAACATTGACATTCGGTTCGGTTGACGGTAGGAACTGTTTCAAATACGTAGCCAAACTTGTCTAAAGAGCACGTGCGTCGATGAAAGCACGTGCGGATGAGCACGTGTCCGGTGTTTTCGTTCGGCAGGAACGCGCACTCGGATCGCTCCGATAACGGCCAGCACGACGACGACGACGACGACGACGATGCTATTGCAACCGTTTCAACAAATCACAATGGTGATAAGAAAATTGAACGGGATTTTTGATGGGATCGACGACGATGTCATATAGAGACGACACAGAATTCCATGGGAAGCAACAACAGCACACCACGTGTCTTCGGGAAACGGAGTCGCGGCGAATGTACCGCGGCGGCGACTAGAAAGCACGACGACGATAAAAACGATACACGGTTAAACAAACGTTGTCGTCGAATTTTAGCCCGAAATTTTGTCGCACCACACACACCCTGCGCACACACTCTCACATGTGTCCCGTAAAGATGACACACTCCGATTCGACACGATGATGTTTTTCGCGCGCTTGAATCTCTCTCTCTCTCTCACTTAGCCGGAGGACTTCTCTTCAGGGAGAGAGGGTCTCTTCCGGTCTCCGCGGTGTGTCTCACTGCTCCTCGCTCCGTCGTAACTTTTGCGCAAACCCGAGACCCTCTCTTACTCTTTACCTCTCTCTCTCTTCCTCTCTTTCTTTTCCTCCCTCTCTCTCTCTTTCTCACTCTCTCTTTGTCTCTCGTTTGTTCTTTCGCTCTGTCCCTCTCACAATCTTTCGCGCGCTCTCTCTCCCACTCTCTCTCTGTCTGGTCCTAGGTAAACGCGGAGAGAGGTAGACTGGGCAGTCGGCGAGAGACGGTGGTGGTGGTGACGACGACGACGACGACGACGACGACGACGACGACGGCGACGACAACGACGACGATAGTGGTGGTGGTGGTGGTGGTGGTTGATGCGATTCGTTGGTAGTGATGGTACACGAATACCATTCAAAACGTGTATATATATACATGTATATGTACACATACACGTATACGTACCATCCACCGATCGGAACTCGGAACGTCAGGATGGTGACGGTGACGATAAATGGTAAACGGTGGTAGTGACCTGTGTACGATGGTGGTGGTGGTGGTAGAAGAAGAGGCCAGGTGGGCCTCGTGGCTTATGGTCGAGCCGAGAAAGGGTTGAGGGTCCGAAAAGCACGGTTCTCTCTCTCTCGAGAACTGGCGGCGGAATACTCACGCTAGAGAGGAGGCCTCGCAAGCCTCGTGAGTTGGTTTGTAAAGGGACCGTAGTATTGGTTCCTCGTCGAGTGGCACCTATTCCCTTCTCTCTTACTCTCTTACACGCTCTCCCTCGGCCTATCTCTTTCCTACGCTTACTCTTTTCCTCCCACCATCGTTCCACCGCCTACCACCACCTTCCTCCACTCTCCCTTTCCCCACTGGTGCTCTCACTATTACATTACAAATAGCTCTCTTGCCTAGGCCTCGTTTGTGAGCCGTTGCTCCTTCCGTGTACGTTTATGCTCGTTCCTGTTTATGTGTACGCGACCACGTGTGTAATCCACGTCGGTGTGGCTCGATGCACATGTTGGAACTGTCGTACGATAAGAGTACAGCATCGTACGTCTCTCTTTCACATTACGGTCTTTTTCTATCTCCTTCTCCCTCCCACCCTCCCTCAATCGCTCTAACCCTTCTATCCTCTTTTCTCTTTTCCTCTCTTTTTCTCACATTTCTACATCTAGCCGAGCGTATGCGTATGCAACTCGTTTGTATTACCCACACGTACATACGTGTACACCGTACTAACACGCGAAAAATCGTAACCGCTCTATACTCTCTATTCTCCTCCTCGTCGCTTGAACGCGAGTGAATAGAGAGCCTCTTTGTCACGGTAATGGTGTAATACAAGGCTCCGTTCGAGCTCGTGTACGTAATACGTAAGAATAGAGCGAGAGCTCTAGCGAAACCTCGACGGGCTTCTCTTCTTCTTCTTCTTCTTCTTCTTTCTTTCTTTCTTTCTTTCCTTCAACAAACTCATCCCCACCGCGGCTCGTACGCTTCCGTTGTTTCTATTAGTCCTCCCATGACCGTTTTCCTCCCGTGTGTCCACCGCGTGTCTTCATCATTTCTATCTCTTTTCCCCTCTGTTCTTCCTTCTTTCTCCAACCATGGCTCAAAACTTATATATTTCACTTTTTCCTTCTCTCCTTTCCTTTCACCACTCTTTCCCGGGCTCTTTTCTTGCTCCATCTCGGATCCGTTCGCGCTTGCGCGGATCCCTTTCGGTTTCTCGCGAACCCAGAAGATAGGACGCGTTAAGGTTTTCACCGTCCTCTCCCTCTTCCTTCTCTTCTTCTTTTATTTCTTTCTTTAGACAACTTAGACCACTCCCCCGTTCCTTTCGCCGACCTTCCAACCCGTCTATTCTTCTCACCACCCATCAAACCCGCGCCCTTTCTTCCTCTCGAAAACCCTGGCCGACCAACTCGAAACCAATCGGTTGCTGCCCGTCTACCCCGTGAAAAGTCCTCTTTTTCCATCCGGAGGATTATGCCGTTGCTCCAGTTATGTATCGGAAACGCTTTCAACCGTGATCGATAGTGAAATGCTTGAATGACTCGCTGGTAAACACCTACGGCTTCAGGCTTCCTCCGCGTTTACTTTGATTACGAGTTTAGCTCATGCCACAAGCATCTTTAACAACTCTTATCGTGGCTAGAATTACGGTAAACGCTCTCGTTCTCCGCTGTAGTTAACAATAACAGTCGAATTTCAAAGGATAAATCTTAGGAAGCTTTCCACAGCGAAACGGGAGGAGACGAAGAATTTTGTGAAGAAAGAATGGTAACTCTTTTACTTTCCATTCGGACTCATTTAAACTCGTAAACATTCTTCGAAAGAATTTCATGGCCAACTGGTGCGAATTTAAATTCGAGTCACGACTGTGGACAGCCGATCGGTCCTTCGTCCCTTTTTCTCTGGCTCCGACAAACAGGCGTAACAGCAACTATTGCCATTCGTAGATTCGGTCAACGATGTGCACGCGTGCGGAGATTAGGGCAGCGGCTGGCTATACTTAGAACGGTGGACGAATTTCGCTCGAGGGACGCTCCGAAAGGAGGTCGAGTAACAGCTGATGCGATATGCATAGCGTCGCGATTTTGCCTGATAAAGGCTTTGCTTACTTTTCCTTGCAGCGTCTCTTCGTTTTACCAACTAATCAAATTCGTCCAATTTCAAGAGGTTCCCGCAACAGTGGCATAGTTTCGTAAATATAAATTCAATTTCCGATTTGACAGATAATGTAAACACAAGATGTAAGATAAAATAAAGTTCTTGCATAAATGTAACAGTTCTTCCAAAATCATTTTCCAATGGCAAATAATTCCTTTCGATCCAAATCTATTGTATACTCTAGAACGTTGGATAGTCTATTGTTTCAGGGTGCAGTTAAGAATGTCATCTTCTCAACTAATAATTTAATAGCTAATCGATGAGAAATCGGTGACCTTTTGGACAAATATAAGCACGCGAAGCGGTAACACCGCCATAATGAATCGTTTCGATGTTACCCTGCTCACTCGTGGATCAATTATATCGATATTTGATAAAAAAGATCCTCGTTAACGAGCCGTCTTCGAAATGTCAAAAACAACACTTGTGTCTCCTGCGATTGTCGATCGAGCGTTGCTTCGTTTTTTTATTATGAATGAGTATATCGTGTTAAAAAAAAATGAATCGTAGATTTCGAGGAAGTATACGTTACGTTAAATATTAGCTCACGTTATCAGCCTGGTCATAATTGCGAGAAATTAATTAATTAATTCGCGGTTAAACTGGATGGCTGGTCCGAGCCGCGTCGCGTCGCGTTGCGGCTCGATCGTCCGGTCGAGTTATCGTGCCTCGATACTATTTATTTATTTATGGTGTGGTCTAAATTAAAAGCGCGTCGAGAAGGCCAAACGCCTTGCGTAATCGTTACAGGGAGCATGCGGCTGTTTATCATTACGCGCGAAAGATAGGAGGAGTAGGAGGCGGGGGAGGGAATAGACGGAAGAGAGGGAAAGAGAAAGAGAGGAAAACTGCAAGGTCCTCTTCAGACTCGTCACGCATGCAATTAAACGCTTCGCCATTTTTCTTTTTTTTTTTTTTTTCTTCTGCGTTTCCTCCGTGTTTATACTTTCAAGATTCTAGGCGTTTCGTTATTCATCGTACTGGTTTTACGTACTTGTGCTTATACGCTTCCTTCAAGTTTTTGCCTTATTTGCAAAAAGGACTTCGTATCCTTTTTTTTTCTTACACGTCTGGCATCATCAAACTTCTCTACGAAATTACTCTAACCAAACGATACTCGGACATTTCTCCGGCAATCTGTACAATCTTATCGTCTGGTACATTCTTTTTCTCGCCTGACTCATGCGACATTACATACATAATTAGGGCAGCCTACTTCGTGCGCCGAACCAGTGGTAAAAGTAAATGACAGTGTTTAGTAGTAAAATCGGTATGCTTAGCATTCCCGATGTCGTTCAATGTCGTTTTGCACGTGTACAGAAGTTTTCTTAACAGGAGAACACCTCGAGCAGAAACTACGGAGCAGCCAGCACCCCTGGACCGCTTGCTCTCTCGTGAGACAGTCTCACCCTCCTCTTAACTCTTGCACTCTGTGCCTCTCTATTTCTCTCTCACCCTCCGGCTCGTCTCACTCGCACCGTAGCTGACTTTCCTTTCTAACTCTCCTTACTTCTACCTCGTCCCAATGAGGTGGTCGCCGACGGTCGTACTTGCACCTTTCTCACAACGCGACACGAGTCTAGCCATCCCTTCTTTTCACGTCCCTTTCACTCGAATTGCACGGGACGAGGAGGAGACGAAGGCTCGACGAAACGAGAGTGAAAGAGAGAGAAGGAAATTGATGAAAAAAAAAAAGAAGGTGGAGGGAGAAGCGGGTATACAAGAAGGTGTAATGGAACGGGAGAGAAAGGGCGACAGGGTTAGAGAGAGGGAGAAAGAGGAGGGTAGAGAAAGAGAATGCAGAATGAGAAATAGAAAGACGGGGATCCAGTTTGACCGTATAGGTTAGATCCTCGTTGGTCTCGTGTATTTCGAGGTGACTCGTTTTATTGCGAATCCGGTTTGCTCCCCTTGACGAAGGGATAGCAGAGGGGAGACAGAGGGCTGCGGACGTCGAAGGAAACGGTGGAGAAGAAAGAGGAGGAGGGAGGAGGAGGAGGCGTCGTAGGAAAAGGAAAGGGAGGGATCTTTCTTTGGTCGTTCCACCGACACGAGACCTCCCTTTCTTTTCGTATTCTACTCTAGTCGTCGCTACACTACGTTCCTGCGGCTACGTTTTCGCGCGAAAGTAAATCGCGACATTTGATGCCGTGACACTGAACGTCATCGGTTTTGTCGTACTGAAAATCGACAGTCATAATCGTCAATGTCACTGCATCGTACCATTTCACGTTTCAACGTCATGACCCGGGATGTCAAGGGTTCGATCCACCTGAAAAGTAAAAGTCACGGAATGAAATGCAATGTCACGACAATGCAATCTCTCGTTTTCGCCGTGACAAAAGTGTCGACGGCAAAAGTCCCGATTTACCGTCACGTAAAAACGTACCCCAACTTGCTGCCGCATTCGAGGAGACAGCGAACGCGTTGGTACTGGCCGTTCTTGCTGCTACCGTTAGCTGCTACCGACCGGTCGGGTTGTTCGACCACTGGTGCACACCACTTCGATGGTGGTGTGCAGCTTATAGAGAGATGACGAGGCTCTCGAGGTGGTTGCCAGTTTCAAGGTTGACTCTTCGACTGTAACAACTTACACACCGTGTACACGTTAACTAGATCTACTCATTGCAAACACGTCTCGACTGAGATACTCCGCCCGGTTTCCCGTCTACACTCGAGGAGAGATGTCCATCGGACGTCATCGATAAATTCTGTAATAAATTATGTAATCATTCGCCTACGTGGAAACGTCTTGAAGATTTATCGAATATACTATTTATTACCAGTTTCAATTCTTTTCTTCTTCGGAATCAATTAGACCTTTCGTTGCAGTAGCGGTTATTGTATAATCTATATCGGATTAATTATCTGTTCGTATCATAGACAACTGGTTGTTCCTTTGAAAAAGTGAGAAGAACGATTCGAAGAAAAAACATTTCCATCTTACTCGTAGCAAGCTTACATCATTAATGGCGCTCCGGCTTCCTGCTGGAAGCATTACAGTCTCTCTCGGTTTTCCGTAATTGATTACAGAGGTTTAGCATAATACCTCTTGGCTGGGTAATTTAATTATGCATTCGCGTATCGACGGTATGAAAATTACGCTCGCTTTAATGGAATCCACGATCCAGGAACTGGCGTGGCGCGA